TCATGGTACTTCTGCGCGTAGGGCAGCTCGCCGAGCGGGAAGAAGTCCCAGGCGGAGCGGTTGACGACTTCATCGGGGGTGTAGCCCAGGATGTCGACGATGGAGTCGGAGGTGTAGAGGATGCGGGCGTCGGCAGTGAGGTCTGGAGCGGCAGCGGTTAGCGGTGAGGCCGACGGGGGTGGAAGGGGCGCGGGGCGGCGGGTACCGTGGATGCTGATGAAGGTGGTCTCCATGGTGGGCGACCGTGGCTCTCTCGAGGAGCAAAATCTCCTTTGGCCCTTCTGTGGTGTGCGGCTACCGCAGCGCGCGCATTGGGTCCAGTCGGCGGGACTGTCTCGTCGTCTGCAGACACTCGTTGCTGGCCGCACCTTACTGCAGGCTATCTATCGTCACTGGGGATTGCGTATCGAGTGCGTGTTCGATGGGTGATCAGTGAGCGTTGGTGTGGTCTGAAGTGTCGCGGGTATGTCGTGCCGGGTCGCTTCTGTGCCTGGTGGCGAGCGCGACGCAGGGTCCACTGGGGGGTCGTCGCGGAATCGGTGGCGGCAGAGACGGGTGCCAAGGTGTCCGGGCGGAGTACAGCAAGTCAGTAGCAGGTGCAGTCGTCGGGCGATGTGCTGCGATGCGGAATGGACGGGCAACACACGTGATGGAAGGGCGGGAGTGGGAGTGCCAGTGGAGTCCCGGTCAGGATCTGCGCTCGGTCGTCGGTGACGTGCGTCTGTGTCAATCGCAACGCCACCTCCCGTTGCAGCACGACGGAGAGCGGCGGAATCACTCCCTGAGCATCATCCCGCCCCACTCGCACCACCCCTTTCACCGACGACGACAGGGGACCTGGGTGTCACACAGCTGCCGAGCGGGACGACGAGCTGCCGTCGGGAGTCGACGACTCGGCGGAGGCGGCAACGAGCGGGCACGACGGCGGCGGGCAGACGGTCGGGCTTCCACCGGCCGCTTAGGCGGTGCGCTGCCGCGTGCGCTGAAGAAGGGTTGGCCCCTTCTCTGCTTCTCAACTTCATCACTACTACTACAGCATGATGATTGACAGAGACGAGCTAAACTTCACCAACGGCTGCCAAGCCTCCGTGTCGCACATGGGAGCCCTGCTCTCCCACGCGCACGCTCGCTAATGAATCCCGCATCCGCCCGACTGCATTTGCCCCGTCCAGCCCGCGCACGCGCACCCGGATCCTCACCCAGCTTCATCAGCTATACGACGCAGCGGCCACAGCCTCTCATTCACGCCCACGCACCTGCATGCAGTGATCTGCACGCCGCCCCCCGGCCCCCGGCGTTCTCGCGCCGCGCTAGCAACGGAACCAACCGCTCACCTTTCATCGTTCGGGTCGGGAGAGAAGGCTTGGCAGACAATCGTCGATTGCGGTTCCACCCCCGGCACAACTTCGTCACGGTGACCTCGACCTTCGATTTGGTGCACCGCCGAGCTTATCCGGCCTTGCCTCCGCTTGGCTCCATGCTCACTTCCGGGCCTTTCGATTCAGTGAGAGGGTGTCGGAAGACTCTCCGACAGTACATGTGCTTCACGCGCTACACCTTGCCGCACAAGCAGTCCCGGGCCGCCTTGGCTCCGGCTGCGGCACGGTAGGTATGCCTTCGGCACTTCCGCCCAGTAGCCCGTTCCCTACACTGCAGACCAGCACCAAGATTGGCGACGGTAGGTGCCCACCCTCATTGCCTTCACGTGATGACTCTCTCTGACCGCAGCAAGGATCTCTCTACGATGTCAAGTTCTACCCGTATCCCACGGTCGACGGTGACCAGATCTTCGCCGTAGCTGGGGCGGGCGACGTAAGTCAGCACGTGCTTTCCACACCGTAAGCAGCACTGACACCGACTAGATATTCGTCTGCCGACCCAAGCTCGATGCCGACCCACCATATGAGATCCTACGCTGGTTCAAATCCACCACGAACAACGGCAACGCCTACAAAGGCTACGGCACGGGCCAGTCGCAGGACTCCTTCAACAGCCTCGCCTGGGCCCGCGACCCGGCCACCCGCAAGCCGCTCCTCTGCGTCGCGGGCGAGAAGCCGACGCAGATCCAGATCCTCGACGTCGAGAGCGGGGCGCGCGTGCGCTCGCTCGCGGGCCACGGCAACGCCATCAACGACCTCGCCGTCTCGCCCTTATCCAGCAGCCTCCTCGCGTCGGCCTCCGCGGACTACACCGTGCGACTGTGGAATCTCGAGCCCGAGTACGCGGCCCAGCCTTGCGTCGCCATTTTCGCGGGCGAGGGACACCGCCAGCACGTGCTGGTGTCGCAATTCCATCCCAACGGCCGGTGGATGCTGACCGCGGGGCTGGACACGGCGGTCTGCCTCTGGGCCGTGCCTAGCATCGAGGAGCTCGCCAGAGACCCCGCGATCGAAGGCCACCGGGCGCCGAAGACGGTGTACTACCCGCACTTCCACTCCACGGAGGTGCACGCGGACTACATCGACACGGCCGTCTTCTTCGGCGACCTCATTCTCTCCCGCGCGTCCAAAGACCAGAACTCCAAGACCGTGCACAACGCCATCCTCCTCTGGAAGATCGACGGCTTCGACTCCGCCGACGCGCCGCCCGCCGAGCCCCCGATCCCGTCCCCCGGCGTCTGGACCCGGTCCTCCTTCCCCCACGACACGCGCGCTTCGCGGGGGTTTCAGCGGCTCCTGACGTTCGACATGCCGAGCACGACGCGCTTCTACCTGCGCTTCGGCCTGCTGCATGCGCCGGGGATGCGGCCGGTGCTGGCGATGGGGAACGAGATGACCAAGTTCCATTTCTGGGACCTGCAGAAGTTGGAGGAGGGGTATGGGGCGGAGGAGCGGGGGGGGAAGGTCAAGAAGGCGCGGGGCGGCGGCAGGCAGCCGAGGGGAGAGGCGGCAAATGCGGTGAATGAGTCGAATGTTCATCGGCTGGGCGAGCTGAGACGGGGTGGCAGCGCTGCGAGCGATACTGGAGTTGGGACGCGTAAGCACGGCCCCTACTCCCCCTCGCCTTCTCTGCCTTCCTCGGTACCAATCCACTAATTCTCCCTTCCGCTTTCCAGCCGACCCCTCCTCGACCTCCATCTCCGTGCCCCCCGAGCGGAAATACGACCTCGGCGACCCCATGACGCCCCTCAATGCCCACCATACCGCCGTGATTGGGAAGACGGCGCTGTCGGAGCGCAAGCACTTCGCTATGGCGCAGATCGCGTGGAGCCCGGACGGGACGTGGATGGTTGGGGTGGGGGATTGTGGGATGCTGTGTATCTTCCATCGGGACCAGAGCGTGGTTTAGTGGTGGTCGGCCTTCGTGGGTGCGGGGACCACTCGCAGTACGGCGGGTGCGTTGTGAGAGCTGCTGGGCCTTTCGCAATGCTCGTGCGCGGGCAGTCCGACTGCCGGCTTTCAGGGCGGCGAAACGGCGGCATCGAGGCTCTGCTGGAATGCAGCGAGGGTGTCCGCGCTGCCGATGTTGCGGCCGATGATGACGATCTTGCCCTCCTCGGCGGCCTGCTGCGTCGCGTCCCCGTCGACCAGCTCGAAGATCTCGCGCACGCCTTGCAGCATCTTCGAGCCGCCGTTCTCCATTGGTAGCCGGCCCTTGACTCGATGAATGTCCCAGTCCGCTACCGTGTCCGACCCAGGAAGCTCGCTCGACCAGAGGACGCATCTCAGCCAAGCATCCAACCGTTTCAGGCCTGCATCATCCAGAGCCGGGGTAGTCAATAGTGCACTGCCAATCGCCGGATCCAGATGGCTGTGGCCCTTGGCAGCAAACTCCAAGCTCGCCGCATCCACTTTATCATACGCATGCAGATCCAGCACCAGCCCTTCCAATTGCGGCACCCGACTGTGATCCGTGACGTGCACCTCGGCCAACGCGTTGATCGCTCGCACCCTCTCCCTCACCGCGTGCAGCTCCTCGTCGTTGACGAGATCGGCTTTATTCACCACCACCACGTCCGCGTGCGAGATCTGCAGGTGCGCGACCGACAGCACCGGCCCCGCGTGCCCAGCATCCCCATCCCCATGCCCATTCCCATGCCCGTCCCCGTCCCCCTCTCGCAACCTCGGTACCTCCCCGTCCCCCTCTACCGGCGCATCCAGACACCGCAGCACATTCTTAGCATCCACTAGCGTGACAATCCCGTCCAGATAAATCGTACTGCCCAACCCTTCATCCACCCAGAACAGCGGCGCCAAATTCCCCGGGTCCGCAAGCCCGGTCGTCTCCAGCAGGATATAATCAAACGCCGCGCTCTGCCGCTCCATCAGGGATTCAATGGCGTTGACGCCGCTGTCCTTGACGGAGCAGCAGAGGCAGCCATTGCCCAGCTCCAGCCATTCCTCCACGGAGGTGGAGGCGTGGTTGATGGTCAAGGACTTCTCGATGTCGGTGCTGTTACCGAATTCTAGGAGGGGGTTGTTAGTGTGGGTTCGGGTGGCGAGGGAGAGGGGGTGTGGGGGCCAGAGTGACCGTTCAGGATGACGGCGATCTTCTTGCCGTGGCGGGCGGTGAGGATGTAGTTGAGCAGGGTCGTCTTGCCGGCGCCAAGGTAACCTGAGAAGTCCTGTCAGCAGAGTGATGATGTGGAGGTATGGGGACTGCTGACCCGTGATGATGGTGATGGGGACACGAGCAACTTTCACATCTTCCACGCCAGCAAGAAGGGAGGAGTCTGTCCCATCCTTTCCCTCTGCGTTGACGAGCAGCGGAGGCGTCTGATCGTCTTCGTCGTCCATGCCAACAATGAAACAGAGTTCCTTCGAAGGTCCAGTCTTGCGATACTCCAAACGACGTGTCGGATGTCGGAGCACGGAGGGTAGCAGATCAGCAGCTAGCGCAATGCTCTCTGCACACCGTCCAGATTCCCGTGACCACCTCTGCAAAACATGATCGTCGCACGTCCGCCGAACCCAACGACCGCCACCGCCCCCGACGGACAACGCGCCGGCTTCAAGAGCGTACACGGAGACACGATGGTGCTTGGCACGGGCAAAACAAGCGGGCCTGGCCGGGATTTGAACCCGGGGCCTGTCACATTTGAAGCTCTGCTAAGCAGAGGGTTACCCGAAGCGACAATCATACCACTAGACCACCAGGCCCAATTTTTCCAAGGTGTTGGAAACTCAACAGCCGTCCCATGATCATGAGAAAAATTGTATATATAAGCTATCGTTTTAGGGCCGAGGTGGAAATAAGCTCTAGGGTCGTAGTAAATCTCTAAGTTGTGTCGTTGTACATTAAACGAGCTTGTGCGTACAACACTTCTAATAAACTAACAAACTTAGAGTCTACTAAGTATATATCTTATTAACTATTAAGGAACATTAAGCTAAAAAGGCTCTAATAGCTACTAGTAGTAGTAGAAGTAATAGACTATATAAGATCTAGATTAGGATAAGAATAAAGAATAATCTTAACTCTCTAAGTATTAGATATAGAGTTAGTTAATAGATATAGAAGAAAGAGTAATATATAAGAACAAGCGTATAGGAGTATAAGTACCTACTATATTTAAGACTTATAGTAACTAAAGAGAAAAAGATAGGGTTAGCTTTTCTAATAAGAGTATATATTTAGTTAAACTATATAAGCTTCTTAGGAAGATCCTCTACTTTAAAAGTTATTCTAGAGAAGTATAGATAGATAGTATACTTACTTACTTTCTCTTAGCTATCTAATTAGAGATAGAAATAATATTAAGTATAAGCTTACTATACTCTATAGCCTTCTTCTAGTAAACATACCTAATATAGTTAGATATATAATACTTAACCTTATATATATATATATATCTAGAAATTATACTTAGTTCTACTAGTTATTATCTTTAATATAGCCTATAAAGACTTATACTCTCTTTAAAAGTATAAATAAGCTTATTCTTTCTAGTCTAAGTAAAAAGAGACTTAAAAGTATTAAAAGTATAGTGTTGCGATCCGACAAAGTCGTCTCGACGTAGTAGAGCTCGGTAGGCTTAGTTAGTGTCAAGACACGGGTGTAGGAATACTTCTCTCTATGTTAGTAGAACCTAATAAACCTCTCTAAGTGAATTACTAAGCGTTGGTATACGAAGACCTTTTAGTTAGATTGAAACATAAGTTGAACACGAACTACCTATATAGAGATCTATCGCGATATATATAAAGGAGATTCGTGTCTCGTTTGACCGTTCGACTATGTTGCTAGTTAATCGGTCGGTTCGGGTGTATAGTCGTTCGACTATGTCGGTAGTCGACTAGTCGGTTCGACTAAGTTGTATAACCGTTAGTCGGTTACGTGCGCTACGTTATGTCTTAGCTAATTCCGTTGGCTATAAACTTCTCGCGGCTGTGTCTTCCTACGCAGCCTAGCGCATGTTCGTAACATTACCCCCTCCTTATCTTCTAGCTCGTCCTCGAGCTTCTTATATAAGTGCATTCTATGTTCCTTTATTATAAGCGGAGAACCGCTAACACGAAAAGAACGCCGTAAACGACAAGCACTTGTTATCGAAGCCGAAGGAAACGAGATGCCGTCCCCCTATTCTTCTTGTCGGGACGCGAAGGTACTAGAAGGAAGAGATCGTCCGAGGTATGTAGTAGATGTTCGATTTGGTTGTTGTTCGTAATGCGTACGAAGGGGTTACTCCGGGTATAACGTAACTATTACATAGACGGAGTAGGAGCGATTGCGGAGTTAGCGTCGTAAGCTAAAGCGTTAGCTAGACGAGGCTAAGGAAAAGGTAACCGAGGCTATGTCTCGTATACATTGTTTACGTAAGTAGCTACGTATAGCGGAGGACCGGGAAGAGAAGGCGATAAGCAAGGAGTTTGTCGAGCTATAGAAACTACCTTCTAAGGGTGTAGGTGCTCTAGAGGCTCCCGCCGAATGCCTATTAGAGCTAGAGGGTGTTCCGGAGGAATTAGAAGGCGTGTTCTAACTTCCTATCCCTTCCTAGGCTAAGTTCTCGATGATCCCTAACGCCGAATTCTAGAGTTTTCCTACTGCGACTAGTGGAATTAGCGTAGCTTTGTAGAGCAATAGGTAAGGTAGTCCTTAGGTTCCTAGGTATTATCCTCCTTAGGGTATCCCTTCTATTTAACGAGGTAATACTAACCTCGTTTTCCTAGGATTTCTTCGACAACGAACTTATTGTCTTCCTATAGTTCGAAATGGAACGTCGTCTATAGCGTAGAGTTCGGGTCCGCTAGTTCTAGGAGTAAGATGTAGAACACTAGGTGTATCCTAGCATCTTTAGGTAGGCTAAGCTTGTAGCTAGCCTTGCCTCTTTGTTCGTCGACTAAAAATAGTCCGACCTTTATATAATCTAGTTTCTTTGTACCTCGTCGAGTCTTAAGGTTCTTTGTAAGGAGGTATACCTTATCCCCCTTCTTAAGTAGAGGTGCCGTTTTTAAGTCCTTATGTCGGCTACTTGTTAAGGCATTCTAGGATTTAGTAATTGCTTGTCGTATCGTAGTATAGATGTCCTTAAGTGATCTAGAGTTGACTAAGGCCCTATCGGTCTATAGCCTAAGTCGTAGTTTTATAAACAGGTTCGGATTCTTGCTATAATTAGCGAAGAATAGTGTTTGTCTAGTTGTCTCGGAAGCGTTGTTATTAAGTGCAATTTGTACTATAGGCAACAGTAAAACCTAGTTGTTCTACGCATAATTAACGTAGTAGCGTAGGTATACTTCTAGTAACTAATTGCTTCGTTCTATTTGTCTATCCGTTTGTAGGTAAAAAGCTATAGATAGCTTATGCTTGATTCCTATTGCTACGACGAGTGTCTTCTAGTAGTTAGATGTAAAGAGTTTGTCTCGGTCTATAATAAAGACTATCGGTATCCTATAGTAGCGTACAAGTCTATTAAGCACGAGGCAGCCTAACTGCTCCGCGTTAATAGACTCGCTACAAGGGATAAAGTATAAGTATTTCGTAAGTCGATCGACTATAACTAGTATAGAGTCGTGTTGTACTCCTAGCACTAAGTCTCTAGACTTAGGAAGCTTAACGATGAAGTCCATCGTGACGTCGTCCTAAGGCTACTAAGGTAGTTCGCGGAATTCTAAGTTTCCGTATTTAGCGTGTCGCGAGGCCTTGTTCTTATTATAGCTGTCGCATCGCTTAATGTACTTAGAGACCTTTCGTCTTATATCGGGGGACACGAAGTTGCGTCGTACGTGTTCTATAGTTCGAGCAATCCTAGGGTAGCCGAGTGTCGGCCCGTCGTAGTAATCTCGAATGTAGTTGTCCTCTTTCCCGGGTAGTACCTTAAACTTCCTA